AAATTACGAGTCCTATAGATCTAATTACGAGAGCTATAACATACTGATTCCCCAAGCTGTCTTAAAAAAGTAGGATTTTATGAGAAAAAGTAGGAAAATCAAGCAATTTTTAATAAAAAATAGGAAAAGTAGGAAAGTTGAAGAAAAGTAGGAAAAGTAGGATGGCAAGAAAGCCTGAATTAAAGCGCTGTTTATTATGATAGTTGGTAAAAAATCGTAATTTTCCTTTTCGTATATTTATGTAGTTTTCAAACGTTCAGAAAAAGTGTTAGATGTAAATGTCGTTAGAAAAAAATTTGCTTTGCTTCAATATTATTATGGGCATTTAAAACCAAAAATATTACATAAAATAATAAATCAGATTGTTGTTTTATTGTATTAATGTCTAAATTATTGTTACAGTACATCCAATATAGAAATTTTTGAAATATCAATATTTATAAAAAATATTGATATATTGCATCAGCCTACTGCAATAATGTGCACAATAATTGAATCACAGTTGCAATTTGGACAAAACATGCACAAGCAAGTTTTTCAAAGAGCATCAAAATAGCACGAGTCAATCAATCAATCAATCAATCAATCAATCAATCAATCAATCAATCAATCAATGAAGCTTTATTACAAGAAATAGTTTACACTAAAACTACCCCCAGCTGATTATGGTATACTTTTTTCTTGAAAATGATCATGCCTTATGGTTTACATATATTAGTATGGCAAAATGTTAATGTTATGACTCCTTTCTTTTAAAATACTTAGAACGTTGATAAAATTGGATGAGTTGGCTGAAGGAATGGCACTTTTCAATATAATGGAACAGTGACTGTAACAAAGTATTTAATTAACTGAAACGAAGTATTTTGTATTTTGTATTTAACTGTAACAAAGTATTTTGTGAGTCCCTGTTACAAACGTTTTATAATGCGACCATTGTGTGTCTTGTTTTACAAAGTAACATATGACCATATATGGCTTAATAAATGGGTTCCGGCCGGAACTTTTTTCCAGTTCTGGTTGGATCTGGTTCCGGCCGGAACTTAAAAAATTGATTCCTGCGCAACCCTACTCTATGCTTGAAATGCAGCCTGCTACTGAAGTCAATGAAAAGTGGACAGTCATTTTTATGCACAAAAATAACAACCAATCAAAATGGCGATTGTTAATTAGATTATCAAAGCTAATTTAAGATATGACAATAACGCTCAATTTTTCGATCGTGACTAAAACACCACACGAGTACATACGAGTAACACACAGGTACATACGAGTACATACGAGTAACACACAAGTACATACGAGTAACATACGAGTACATACGAGTAACATACGAGTAACACACGAGTACATACGAGTAAAACACAAGTACATACGAGTACATACGAGTAGAATACGAGTAAAATACGACTAGTAAACTTGTTTTTAGTGTTTGTAGATTGAATACAGGCAAAAAGATCGTCTTCTCTGTCGAAAAACGTGAAATAGACTGAAACCGGCTATCTTTAAAACCCGGAACGGGGAATGGGGGGACGGGGAATGGGAGAACGGGAAGTGGGGGAACGGAGGGAATGGAGGGGCGAGGGAGGAAATAGGAGACAGGGGCGGGGGAGGTCTGCCAGATTCTATAAACCACAACTTTGTAGTTTGTACAACATCTACTTTTAGGTATTCTACCTAGATAGTTAGATACATGACACAAACCATAGGCTTCACATACTTCACGGCATGGTTTGCTTTCAAAACCCTGTGTGCATGCACAAAACCTAACTCACTAACTGCATCTACTTAAAATAGTACTAGGTGATAAACTTACAATCCTCACATAGCCTCAATCACAACATGTGGCTAGGCAAATATACGAACTACACAGTTAACTTATACCGTGACGACATACGACAGTTCCGAGACCGAAATACAGGACAACAGGGCCTTTTTTAAGGATTTTCCCGTGGGGGGTATTTTTTGAAAAGGGATCTTAGATAATATATTAGAGGGGGATAGCAATGGCCGACGGCCACGGTGTGTGGCCGACATACTTCCCCAGAAAATGTTTTAAATTTGAACCTTTCAAATACCATTTCCTGCTTTATGAGCGTCTAAATTTGCTCTAAAATTTATGCTAATTATATACTTGTATTTGAAATAAAAGAAGGAAAAAATGCAGAAAAAATAAAAGAAATATTAAAGGTGATCTACAGTCCGATCTGCGCATGTGCACAAATGAGTCCACTTTTTATGATACAAACAGTTTAACTATGTTTTGAGTTCTTGAAAAGCCTGATTGTTGTTTCTTGATCATTTATTATACTCTAGAAGCTTGAAAATATAAATAGTTGTCGAATAAAGCTCAATATTTTGGACACAAAAATGTAAACAAAGACTTTGTTTACATACGGACTGTAGATCGATCACCTTTAACAATAATTTATCCATTACTTATTATTAAAGGGGATAGCAATGGCCGTGGGTCACGTGTGTGGCCGACATACCGCGAATGAATAGGGGGGTCTGGAGGCATTAACTCCCCAGAAAATTTTTGAAATTTCAAGCCCAAAAATGCCATTTCCTGCCGTCTGAGCATCTAAATTTTCTAGAATTTATCCTAACTATACTTCTATTTGAAATAAAAGAAGGAAAAAATACACAAAGAATTTAAAAAATATTAACAATAATTTATCATTAC